TTTTTTTTTTTTCATGGTTTCCCACACTTCCTGGATGTTTTGTGTTAAGCATTTGTTGGATTTAAGATTTCATTGCTTAATGAATCTATTTCCTCTTGTTTATCTTCATGCCTGAGATTCTCTCTTCCATCTCTTGTATTGTGCTGGTCATGCTTGTGTCTGTAGTTCCCGGTCATTTGCCAAGTTTTTCTATTTCCAGCATCTTCAGTTTGTTTTCTTTGTTGTCTCTATTTCAGTTTTCAAGTCTTGAACTGTTTCCTTCACCTGTTTAATTTTTTTTTTTTTTTGCTTTCCCTACATTCTTTAAGAGATTCGTTTATTTCTTCCATTTTTTATTTTTATTTTTATTTTTATTTATTTATTTATTTGGTTTGCTTTTCTTCCATTTCTTTAGGGGGATTTTTTTTTCTTGAAGGCCTTTATCATTTTTATGAAGATAGTTTTTTTTTTTTTTTTTTAAGTCGTTCTCTGCTGCCGAGTCCCTAGATTCTGGTGGTGTCATGCTTGTCTTTTTATTGTTAGGTGTTTTCTTGTATTTCCATCTTCCCATCACTTCTTCCAGTATTGCCATCTTCCCATCACTTCTTCCAGTGTGTGCAGGTGGGTTCTCTCTCTCACTATGCTATTCCCCTGGTAGGCTTTGGTGGGTCAGAAGTTAGATGTCTATAGTTCTGGGTGGTTCAAACTCTCTAGGCGGTCTCTGGTCAGGCAGTGCCCTGCTGATGGGGTCACAGATCAGGCTCCAGCAGAGCCCCAGTGAATGGGGTCAAACATCCAGCGGAATTGTCCATCAGGGATAGGGGGATCTCTGGCCAGGGTCTGGAACTCTCGCATAGGACCAGCAGTTGGGTCATAGGTTAGGCAGGCCAGGATTCAGGGTGGTCTCATGTGGATTGGCAGGTCTAGTGTGCTTAGAGCAGCTCCAGGAAGTTCCCCAAAGGTGGAGGGAATGTTAGATCCACCCTCTGTTCTAGTGCTCAACCAGAGAGATGGGACAGTGGGAACGGTATGGCACAGGGTTGGGGGAGGAAAGGCTCTTTGTGGGGGGTGGGTGGGTATGTATCAGTGTACCAAGAGTGCTCTTGCGGGGGACAGGACACGGGAGAGCAAGATTTGGGGCCAATCCAGGGAGTTCCTGGGGAATTATGTGGGGGGATTAAACCCGAAGTCCCAGAGTCACCTCTAACTGAGACCCTGCAATGGAGGTCAAGGATCCCTGTAGGCAGGGACTGAGGATGGTCCTGTGGGGATTGGCGGATCTCTTGCTGGGGCCCGAAACTCTCCAGCGCAGCCCTGCTGTGTGGGTTAAAGATCTGGCAGGCAGGGACTTAGGATGGTCATGCAGGGACAGGGGCATCTCTGGCCAGGTCTGGAACTCCAGCAGAGGAAAGGCTGTAGGGGTCACAGATCACTGACCTCTACTTCTATAGGTCCATTTTCTTCAATCATTCCATGTTTTCTTTCTAGTTTGGCAAGACTAGTCTCAGTGTTTATGCCACTTTCTTGAATGTTTTGTATGCAGATGTCTGCATACTACTCTATCTTTAGACAGGTCTCTGCTAGAATGGCATCACTTCTAAAAGGTCTTTTTGAACAACAAATCTAAAGAGGCCCTCTATCTCTAACCTCAGTTTCCAACCCAGTCATTTATATGTCACTACTAAATATTCCTTTTTTTCTCATTTATCTTGATAACTTTCATATCCCATTCGTTGGCATGTGGGAGGGATTAGCTTTTAAAACGATGTGTACAGAGGGAATAAATGAATAAATTGTAATTTAGAGGTATGTGAGTAGACTCTTGAAAAGGAGCATAGGAAATTAAAGTTATTAAGCTTGGGAAGGGCATAACCCAAGAGGTTTAGATTAGCATCTGTGTTCAATTATAATTAAAGATATTGTAGTTTTAATGATCACATATACTCTTTAACATGAATATATCCCAGTTTACTTACATACTGTTACATTTACGGTAAGTTTTTTTTTTTTTTTTTTTTTTTTTTTACCTCTGTGATCTAGAATGTCTTTGTGCAACATTCTGGTTTATAACTTTGACATCATCTTGTTGGTTTGGCACAAGTTTTTCTTTCCTCAACTTAACCTGAGCAAAAGAGTAGTGTGTTGGTCACTGTTCTATTGCTGTGAAGAATAACAATAACCATCACAATTCTTATAAAGGTAAACATTAATTGGAGATGGCTTACAGTCCATTATCATTATGGCAGGAAGCATGGTGTCATGCAGGCAGGCATGATGCTAGGAGCTGAAAGTTCTGCATCTGGATCAGCAGGTAGCAGGAAGAGGCTGTGTCCTCCAAGTCCTTGCTTGAGCTTCTGAGACCTCAAAGCTCAACCTCTAGTGACACATCTCCCACAAGGGCATATCTCCTAATAGTGTTACTCCCTTGGGGCCTATGAGAGATATTTTTATTCAAATGATCACAAATAGTGTGAAGCTGATGGTGTCAATAGGAGATTTTCAGGGTTCAATTAAGGGATTAAAGGGAACTGAAGGTTGAGAGATACCTAGTTAGCATGGAATTCCTTTTCTAGTGGTCCATGTTATCCACAACTGTGTGGCTTTTCTTCTATCTATGTCTTTGATGTGGAGCTATGTGCTTCAGACTTGGATGGTTAAGACATTGGATTTCAAGTCATATTCTGTTATCAAATAATTGTGGGCAGATTCCTCTATTTCCTGATTTTAAAAAGAGTGTTAACACACTTGGAGTGAAGTTTACCTTCTGAAGAAGTGTTCTGATCTTCTTGGCTAGCTCTTTGGAATGTAGAACAATTGACTGTCACTGTCTTCAATTCTGATGTCATTCAGAGGCTACTAGAGAAGTCCCAGTTTACCACTGCTTATAAAGGCATTGGGTCATGTTGTCCCTCAAAGGCCAGTAGGAGAGACCATTTTTATATATGGCAAGAAGTTACTCTGATAAACCAGGTTACTTGGATGAGGTCTTTGAGTTACAAAATGGTGAGTCAAATCTCACAAGACTTCAATTACTCTGTTTAATCTTTCAATTACCATGCTGTTATCTGTGCCACTGTGGCAGAAGTTATATTATATTTATTTCCAATGGTACAATGCCAGTATCCTGATCTGGTTCTGCTAATACTCCTTTTTCTAAGAACCTGTCTTATAGAAAGAGCAGCCATGCAAAACTCAGATAAGAATATATTAGTTACACAAAATTAATATACATTTGGTTTTCACATCAATTTCTTTGTTCTGTGAACAGCTTTCTTTGTATTTAAAATATAATGGTTAATTTTAGAGTATTTAATATATGTATATAAGATATTTTGATCATATTCATTCTTCCACTATTTCTACTCATTCCTGCAGATTCATCACAACTTCCTGTTCTTTATTGTATGTATGTAGTTCACTGATTATAATTTGTACAAGTGTAGAGACATCTACTGGACCATGGTCAACCTAGTAAATGTAATACCTTTAAAGAAAACTCACCACATCCCAAAGCCATCAGCTAGCAATAACTCCTCAGCTAGGAGTGGGGGATTTTGAGCTCCTTCAACCTCCATGTTGAGATGTTGACTGACTTGATCTTGTATGGCCCCTGTAAGCAGCTGCTGTGAGTTCATTTGGTAGTATCCTAACCATGTCCACAAGATACTGCTATAATTCAATCCTTCCCAATTTAGGGTTCTTACAATTTTTCTTCTCCCTTTTTCTCAATAATCCCCTGGGTGGGGGGGTGATATAGATGCCTCATTTTGGCTGAATATTCAGTTAACATTTATTCTCTGTACTTTGACAAGATGTGAGTTTCCACTAAACATAGAAACTTCTCTAATGCTATTTGGGATTTCCACTATTCTGTAATTATACAAATATAAGCTTAGAGCTCAGTTTGATACTTCCCCCACTTAGCAAAATAATAGCAGTAGATTCATGCTTGGGGCCTATGATATCCCTAAACCTGATTTCTCAGCTAGATTTATAGTAACAGACACAATTTTTTTTCTCAAGGAACATGCTTCAAATTCAAAAACAAAGCAATTAGTTATTGTATAATATTCATGCCACTATTGCATACATGGTCATATCCTGCTATGCTGATAATCACTGTAGCTCCTGAGTCCATATATGCAAAGCTCACAGGGTTTCCATTAGCCTGCATTGCAAATCTGGTACTATGAAAACTAGCCAGAAGATAGGGAACTTCCTTATCAGTAGCAACCTGATTTTACCATGTCTTATGAACAAAGTTTATGGTGTGTTCATCAATAGGGTCTTAATATCCGTTTATAGTGGGTTACAAAGAACAATGGGATTACCCTGTATTCATTCGGTGGTCTCCAGAACACCCTGTGGTTATGTAAAAGCACTGGGTTTTTATTTGACCAAATATGGCTTCTGGGAGGAGCATTGCCCCACTGTGTAGGGCAACTCCAGATAAACTTTTTTATATGAAAAATTATTTTCAAATATTATAAAATAGTATGTTTCCATATGGTGTTTTTTAAATGCTCTTGGTTACACCTCTATTCTATCTTACACTCTATTCACCTAAACCTCCCTTACCCACTCATATCATTGTTTTTGTCTTAATTATATCTCAACTTTATCTCCTCTCTATTATAAAGCATACAAACTATTAGATATGTATTTGGCTTTTTTAAAAACATCCCAAGTTATTTGTTTCTCTACCCTGTTCCCCAGTCCTTATATACCTCCATTCATTTAAAGCTCTCTCACTATTAATTCCCTTTTCTCCTTAATATCATATGGATTTTATTACAGTCCTAAGAGCTTTCTAATTAGCATTTACCTGAAGATCTAGTCCTATATTGTTAATGTTAAAGGGAATAGTAGGTTGGTTGTATATATAAGAATTATGTTTAAAGAATCAGTTATTTTAAAGGTAGTTATCCTGAATGTATAGTCTGCATGTACTTGTTATAAATATGAGTGCACTTAAAATATTTTAAAAATTCTTCCATATGCTAATTTAATTTTCTTCTTAGTTATAGGGATGCAGAGAAGAATTTCCACAATATCTCTAACAGATGCTCCTATGCAGACTATTCCAACAAAGAGGAGATTGAAGATGTCTCAGGAATTCTTCAGTGTACTGCTAATGTACTCGGTATATTAATTATATATTTATATATTTGATAGGAATATAAGTGGGAGGCAAGTAAAGGTTTCAATGTTTCATATCCATTTGGAGATTGTGCTAGTTGGAGACAAGAACTTGTCTTTAAGTATTTAGTTTTATACCCATGAAGATGTTTTAATGGGAATTACAAGCAAGCCACTTACTTGTAAACTGAAAAAAAAAAAAACTTACAGGAAATTCTTATATTCTGGGGAAATTTTTAAAAATATTTATATGATGTTGGCATTAGCTTGACATAATCCATATTTCTCTGCATCTTACCTTCACATGAATTTGGCTCTTCCTTTCTTCTCAGGCTTATACTTTATTTCTGGGATACCCTTGTTTTAACTTATCAATGAAGCTTCCCATCTTGTGTTGATTCATTCACTTCCTGCACTGAAGACCTAGAAAATTGTTGTTTACCAAAGCCTGGTTCTTGGGCCTCTATACATGGGAAAATGTTCACACATAACATTTTTTTCTCATTACTAATCACTTGTGTCTATTTTCTGTCCCATGGTGTGCAAAGTATGAATATTGACTACTCTGCTCCCTGGTTTCTGTTTATCTCATGTTGGATCTTGATAATCACTGTGTCAGCACAACAGAGTCCTCTCAAAAGGCCTTCTGCAAGGGAAGCTAGGTGTGAATGGTACCTTCCCTGCTTGTGGCACTGAGTGTTAAATTGCTGCATCATTTGTATCATAAAATGTCTGTTTTGTGCTGATATAATCTAATTTTAGTTGTCTGAGAAAAATCTACCTTTTGAAGCAATAGTATGCAAAGCCTGTTTTCAGTTCACATTAATACTAAAAATGTTCTTGTAATCCTATGAAATGGGACATTATATTTTTGTATCTTATTGGAAATTGTACTAGTTTAATGGTGTAGTGAAATGTGTATGATAAGGATCTATATTGTGTGTTTTTTTTTTTTGAATGTGTTGCCTCTTGGTACCATGGCTTAAATTTAGCTAAGGCTGGAAGGAGACAGAATGAGTGTAGAGAATTAAGGTAAAAAGATGAGAAACTGTGTCATCATTTTTGTTATAATGTTTTAAATTCCAGTGTAGTTATAACATTTTACATTTTTAAACAGTTGTGATGCTATTACAGGGTTTGAGGGTATTTTAATTGCAAAGATTTAATTGCAGTAGGATCAGAGATGCTTTCTGAAAAAGGCATAAAGAGTATTCATACAAATATGAGTGTTGTACATCAACTCATTTGCTGATGAACTATAGCAATGTAAAATTTGTTACTCCAGTAAGTATCAGTCATTGGCTAAATATCACCACTAAACATAATCACACTGCCCTTGGTGATGTGGATAGGACATTATCAACATTTTCTATTTTTTAAAGGTGTCTGTCAGAGTTGTGTGCCTCTTCAAAAACTTTAACACATTTAAAGTTGTCCAGGGATTGTTTACTTGGGAAGTGTTAGTGAGGAGGATGGAGGAAATTACCTCAGGGCTTATCCTTCACAATATTTTCTTGGTATCAGAAATTCTGAAATACTGTATAATCAGAGTCTTTTAGTGATGGCTAAAGACTACAGAATTTTTATTTAGTATGTTTTTTTTAATGTTGTTAACTTTTAAAAAAACTAATTTGTTATTATTTACATACAATTTTATATGATTTGAAATCTCTATTTGGGAACCATTAATTGGTGATAAAAGTGATGAATTAACACTCTCTTATAAAATGTTTTTGTGATAACACTACCATATAATCAATAAGTGTTCAGAATCTTAGGGAACTAGTTGGTAACTAGTTACTGCTTTCACTGATGTAATAAGATTGAAAAACACAAATAAATTCTATCTATGTAGTTCTTGTCTCTCTAACAATAAATTGTTAGGTTTTTCTTTCTTAAAGGTATTTTGAGTATTAATGAGATGAACTGCAATTAAGGTGTTTGGAAGGGTGTGGTGGTTTCAGTGAGAGTGGACCCCATAGACTCATAGATTTGAAAGTGTGGTAACCAGGGAGTATCACTATTGAAATGACTAGAAGGCATGACATTGTTGGAAGAAGTTTTTCTTTAGAGGTGAACTTTGATGTTTCAAAGGCCCAAGCCCAGCCCAGAGTCTTTCTTTCAACCAGCAGATGAGATTGTAGCTCGGTGCTACTTCTCCATCACCATTATCTTCATAACTAGAAGCATGGTAACACACAAGCAGAAATCATGCTGGAGAAGTTGCTAGGAAGTTTACAATAGGTTAATTTATATAAAGTACTTACAATAACCTGAAATGTAACATACTAATGCCACATTGATGTTGTTGTGGTTATTGATGAATATTCCTAAATGGATCTTCTCAGAAGACTTAGGAGGTTAGTTTGTTTGGTTTGACTCTGAACAAGCAAGTTAAGGGGCACTGTTTAAATCTGAGTCATTCTGATTACAAATACCAAATTCCTTACATTGCTTTTCTCTCAGTTATTGAACTGAAACTCTCATGCAACCCCTCTAATACTGATTATGCTAATTGTATATCATCTGTCTAATCCTGTGAATGATGAAAGTTCTTACAATCTTGCATTTTACTTAATTGTTTTGTTGTTTGTTTGCAACACCGGGGATTGAACCAAATACATCATGCATTCCAGACAAGAACTTTACCATTTAGCTGTATTCCAAGCTGTAATTGCAGTTTCATTTTAATTCAGGAGTCTCACTAAGTTGCACAAGTAAGCCATGAACTCACTGTGATCTTCCTACATTAAGCATCAGAGTAGGTATGACAATAGGCTTGCCTTCATGGGCAAGTTTTACTGTTCTTTCAAACTGAACTTGGGAGACTTGCTTGTATATAGCAACTAGTATGAAAACTGTCTAAGACTATTTCTCATCAGTAGTGAAGATTTTTGCAACTTTAGTGTGATTTGGGTCATTTCCAATCTAGAAACAGTGAGTATGGTTTTCTCTAGCTTTTAGGTGATAGGGATGCAAACTTAGGAAGGCAATATTTGCTTTCATGAGAGAAATGTGAGTTCACATTTACGATATGATAAACACAATGCTGAAATTTCTGGCCTTTGAGTTTTCAAGTAGATCTTGTGTTAAATGTGAATCATTGTATTAAACATTATTTGACTGGTAAAGGGCTACATAAAGGTATGTTTCTTTTTTCTCACAAGGAATATTTCTATTAATTTTATGACAAGTTGACATATGTAAAAAATGTATCATATTCACTCTCAACTCCCCCTTCCTCCCAAAATATCTTCCACCCTCTCAACTTCATGTCCTTCCTTTTGTTTTCTTGTTTATTTTTTAAACACACTAAGTCCAATTACGGATTACTGTTGGATTCTTGACTGATATTTTTGCTTTCATCTTGGCCAAGAAGAATAGCTAAAGTGATTTCATGAGTGCAATGGCCATTCCATGTCTGGATGATAGCATTTCACATTTTCTTCATCACCCAGCTTTTCTATTCTTTCTGTAACTTTTCTGTTATGGTCCTTCATCCTTAGGTAAAAGTGTTTGACATAGATATCCCTATTGGGATGAGGACTTAATAGTCACATGATTATGTTCATTTTTGTTTGTGTGAATTAACTGCTGACCACTTCAGAGTTAATCTCTCTAGCCAAGGTTGAGGCAACATTAATTCATGTGTTTAAATATGAATGTTTAGAAGTCAGTTTGATAACATGTACACCTATCAAGTTATATTCTTCTCTAGGGCCTATGACCTCCTCAGATAATGACTTTTGCCAGGTTTACAGCCCCAGGCATGAATTCTCACCTGTATAAAGGGTCACAGATTCAATTTTAAAACTTTTAGCATTGTTACCCCCATAAGCACATCTTGTCTGATGGAGTACCATTCTTGCCTACCAGCCTGTATTGCATTTTCCAGAAATTTAAAAGTTAGCAAGTAAGTGGGAAGAAAGTTTTCAGTTCTTTCTAGCTTGATTTTACTGTGTCCTAAAATCACTATATATATATATATATATATATATATATATATATATATATATGTATATGTATATATGTATATATGTGGAATTATTGTCCACCCACACAGATTACTTGTATTCAAGCTCTCCTGGATATTTTTTAAATTATATTTTCAAATTACTTTATAAAATACTGTTTGTATAATGATTGTTCATACATCCTTAGCTTTAGTTGATATATCCCTACCCACTTTCTCATCTGACATTCAATGCTATCCCTACTTAGATCTTTATTCACAAGTATTCTTCCTCCTATTTTTTAATCAGAATTCTTAATTATACCCTTACCCAAAGGCAGTATTTCTGAGTCCGTTCATATGTTTAAATGTAAACCTTAAGGATATAGTTAAGGATCTTATTTAATTACTTGCAACAGAGATCTTGAGTTCCCATTCTATGTGAATTGAAGAGAACTCAAATTATAGCTTTCTATAAACATATTTTTCCTAGATAAGTAGGAATAGTGTATATAATAGGCCTGTGAAGGGATGACACCAGCACATGTGAACACTGCTCCCAATGCATATAAAATGCTCTTCACTAAAAACTATTTTCTGGAGAATATATACATCAATCTAATTAGATAAAAATGCAGTATGGAAACATGGGTTGGGCTTTCTTCCCTCTTGTTTGTTCTTCCTCTTTTGGTTCTGAATCTTGTCATGTTTGTGTTGCTGAGAAATCACATTCACCTGTTTGTATTACTGGGCAAACATGGCAGTCATATTTCCTTTCTAAATCTTTGTCTTTGTCTTTCTAGACATTTCTCTATCATCAGTGATTTTCCATTGTACACCACTTCTTTAGGTAGAAATGGGTTGACCTCTCAAATTTCTCAATTTTTGTCATTATCTGTGTCTTTTTACCTAACTCTTCAATACGTAGGTTTATTTTAAAGTATTTTAAAGAATATTTTTTCTTATTTTTATTTGTTATGTTTTTCTTATTTTACATATCAATCCCAGTTCCCTCTCCCTCCCATTTCCCCTGATCCCTCATCCGATCCTCC